TTGCTTCGTAGTTTCCATGATTCCCTTTCTTTCCTTTTCCTTTGTTTCCCCTGGCACTTGAACCGAACTACAACTTGGCTTGCAAGGCTCCCTCAATGGATCCCTCATGCCTCATCATTCTTCGTTGTTCTTGTGCCTGCAGTGCACTCAATAACTCTGCCAAGCTAAGCTTAGACAGATCTTTAGTATTTTCCAATGAAGCAATAGTTGCCTCATATCTCTCAGGTAAAGTTACAAGTATTTTTTGAACTATTCTATTATCAGTAAGTTCATTTCCAAGTATCCTTACCTTATTGGCAATCCCAAGCAACCTATCAGAATAATCCTTAATGGTTTCTGATTCCTTCATACGCTGCATCTCGAATTCTCTAACCAAGTTCAGTACTTTCATTCCTCTAATTCTTTCATCTCCCTCGTACTCTTTCTTGAGGAAATCCCAAATTGCTTTGGCTGAGTTACATGTCATTATTCTACTAAAAATGGTGGCAGAAACTGCAGCAAAGAGACAAGATTTAGCTTTGGATTTTCCTGTCTTCTTTTCCTTGTGGGTTCTAATCTGAGCCATAGTTGGATTCCCTGGCAGAGGATGCACTTCATAGTCTTCCTCGACAGCCTCCCACAAATCACTAGCCTCCAAATAAACTTGCATTTTCACTGCCCAGGCTTGATAGTTTTCTCCATCGAAAACTGGTGGAGCCATAGCAGAAAAAGAGCCTGCATTCTCCATTGTTTTAATGGTGTTTTGCAGAGAATATTTTATGGATTAACACTCAGAAAAGAACCTCGCAAGTCTCACACAAGTCCCTTAAGAAGTAGGGCTCTGATACCAATGTTGATAATTTAACTGAAACAGCAAGATGAATTGAAATCTGAAGTAATTTTTTATTGAACTTCAAGTTGATTAAATAAGTAGAGGGGCAGTACACAGAACATGGACTGCTAAAAGACTGCTAACATGCCTATAAAATAGGAACAACTATTACTAGTTAATAGGATAATGACTAAAACAAAACTAATCTCCTAATAATCAGCTGAAGTCTCTGACCCATTCAAAGCAGATCCTGAGACACGTAACAACAGATGTTCCTTTTCTCAATATAAAATGGATTAAGGTGAAATTTCGTTTGTACAGTACATCTTGTAGTAGTGAGTCTGTGAACGATGCAAAAAGCATATGCTAACTTCAAGAGTCAGAGTTCACAATACTGTACTTTCTTTACTAAAATAGAAAATTAGCATGTTATACTTCTCTGTACTGAAAGTAGACCTCTTCTGCAAGCAAGGCCATCTTATAATTTCATCTGATTCAGGTCACACCTGCGGCTGGCATGATCAAATCTGGTGAAGATGAAGAGATCTTGGTACATCAGGAAGAGTTCCGTAATTCAGAAAATATTCCTGAAGTTATGTCACCAAGAAAATGGTCCGAGGAAACAAGAGAAGAAGAGGTGATTTTAATGATCAATGTGAAATCTAGTGGCTCAACGAAGGTAAGAACACATCATGTACACCTGAGCTGCCGTTTCTCAACTGATGCAGTATGCATGTTATCAAGAAACAGTTCCACCAGAAATGAAGGGAGCTCCCATCACAGGTCAAACAGTTCCAGAAGAAATGAAGGAAACACCTATCAGAGGTCAAATAGTTCCATAAGAAATGAAGGGAGCTCCCACCACAGGTCTTCTCTTCAACAGGAGAGCGTGTCAAACGGTTCCAGAAGAAATGAAGGGAGCTCCCACCCCAGATCTTCTCTTCAACAGGAGAGTACCTCTGACATGAATAAATATAAATGACCATCAAGGCTTTCTGGTACCTGGTATCTGCATGAAAGCATATAAACCTAAAGAAAACAAGGTTCCCCCCCCCCACTCAAACTTGGGGTACGGGGAGGGGATTACAAGGTGGAAAATCAAACCCTCACTGATAAAGTGAAAGTTCAAGTAGCCAATGAACTGAACTACTAAGATTCCCCGACAAGAGGATTCCAAGATAGTGTTCTCATGTAAAATTATGGGATTCCCTTTGCTGAGAATGTGTCGTAGGTCTTGATGTATATACTCGTAGATGATTAGCGATGGAATAATCCAGCTCAGAAATCTGGATATAGAGCATCAATTGCTCTTCCATTTTTTCACTAGAATTAGGTTCCTCAATTTGCTCTTCCATTTTTTCACTAGAATTGTGTTCATTAGTAAGCAGTTTGTTCTTCACCAAAAAGACTTGCTTGTAGAAATGAAGAATTCTTTATTGTCCATTCCTTTTTTCTTAACTAAACTGTTCCCTTTCGTTTTAGATACATTCATCGAAAAGCCAGTGTGGGAGTTTCTTGCCCTGCATGTATGCATGCCAATGCACCTAAATAATGCTGGATATGTATTGATTCTGGTACCTCATTGGAATTACCACGTCGCGTCTAAAATCAAGATATTCTGGATGGAGAAGAAAAAACAAAGTTGTGCTCGTTACTCTTAGGCATAATACATAAACATACACTCATACTTGACTTCAGCTCGCAAATAAACACTCCAATTTTGAGTATGCACATCTAGACACCTCCAAAATTTATTTGCCATGTCAACGTCAGGTGTCCACGAGACACAATGAGGAAGAGTTGGAATGTTTAGTTGTCAGTTGAGATCAAATTGAGGTGTCTAGATGTGCACTCTCAAAGTTGGAGTGCTTACTTGTCAGCCGAGGTTAAGTTTGAATGTCTGTTTACGAGCTCAACTTTCATAGAACTCTCTTTCTCAGGTTTTTTTTCTTCATGTTGGCAGAATTCTAACAAATGATGGCAGCTGAAAAAGATGGAACTTCCATGATGATGGAAAAAAAAGTTATCATAAATTATACAATGACACCATTTTGTTTGATGAACTTAGAAGTTGATCAGGTATATAAGCATAAAAATAAATAGCAGCCATCCCCACATTCTTGTCACCAAGTTGCAATCTATGTACACTAATGCTTCATTTTGAACTTCCAAGAAAGATGCTGCAGCGACTGATATCGCTCCGATATTATTGTCAATCTATTGAAACTTTCTACTCATTTGTTCCTGAACCGTATAGATCCCTTCCATACTTTCACCATTCTAAATCTGATCCCATGTCAGTGTTGTTGAACTTCATGGTTGAGAATTACATATAATCGCTTGTAGTTTCAGTTACCGAGCTCTGCGTTTGATGCCATAGGCAGACAGCTGCCTGATTATTCTACCTATACTGCATACATCCTCTTGTAGTTCTCACTGCATAGCTCTGGATCTGATGCCACAGACAATGGGAAAGAACGTGAATTAGTCTCAGTTCTTCGAATGTTCCTCAACCTCGATTCTTCTAGCCTATGTTGAACCACACAATAGCACATGGAGCCAAATGTAGTGAGCATTATTATGCAACCAACCACAGTTGCATACACAGCAAGCCATCTTTCCTTAGCTCCAACTACCACATAACTAAGAGAGATAAAGGCGACTGAGATGAAGAGACAAGCTGCCCACATTAGCTTGTTTATCCAAAACATGAGTCGTTTCTTTGCTTTCTGTTCAATCACGACAACAGACGTCTGGACCACAACAACAGCAACCGAAATGAACAATGCCATACTGTCAAACAAGAAGAAGATTATGAATGCTGCTTTTCTCCCTATGTGTGCTTCTCCAAGCGAAAATCCATCTGTTTCATTTTCAACATATTGGCCAGGTACAGTGAAGATAGCAGCAAAAGCAACAGTAGCAATAAGGACAGCAACAACCGTTGCATTGTTGATGGCGTTGTTAAGACCACTAATGTGGAGCTTCTTCACCTTCATTGCAATTTTTCGTACTTTGAAGCCAGTCTGCTGACTCTGTTGGAGCTGGGAGTGCACATCATGTTTTATGTCACTGACAGACTGCTTGAGTTGCTTTGCAGGACCGGGTGGCTTCCCATGATCTTTGGAATGGGTAGCTCCGGCTTCTTTCAAAATAGAAACAAGCTCCGGAGTTCCAAACTTTTCTGCAATCTCAAGAACTGTTTCTCCAGCCTTATTAAGGGTGTTAAGATCAATGCCCTCAATTGATATAAGACATTGTACCATCTGCAATTACGCATAGCATAGTGTTACAAAGGATGCTGAGTTTCCTTGATTGAACATGTAAAAAAAAACATTGTACCATCTGCAAGTACACATAGCAGAGAGCACCCAAGGGTGTCGCCTAGTGGTCTATTTCCAACTTCTACATTAAGTCATGAATGAAAAAATAAGCTACTTCTGAATAAGGAACTTATCACATAAGTTGGAAGATGGTACATCTACAAAGAATGCAGTTTATGTGTGTCAAAATTTCTATATAAAGTTAAAAAGTAACAGAGGCTGACCAAATCCCTGCAAATCATAGAATGAAATCAGACCTCATGCGGGAGGACACGATACATGATACTAAAAGATTATGTGTTTCTGAATGTTCCTTCTCTCCAGGTACATAACTCTCCAGAAAGGAAACTGGAACTTATCAGTAAGTCATTTCAATAACCATTTCGTGGCAAGACAATGAACTCACCCTTGGTCTGCCCACAATCCCTCAAGTTTGTAATTTCCATCTTGATTTTACCAAATAAACAGTATTCCCTTGATCTACCAGCATTTTTCATCAAGATATAGAACACATCCCACATTGCCTCACACAGAAAAAAATCTCAAGTTTACCGAAGATGCTTTACAAGAAAAAACATGGCAAACAAACAAACCTGTATCCGTCCCTTTCTTGTTGCAATATGAAGTGCTGTGTTTCCTTTGTTATCTTCCAAGGCCAAAACAGCAGGATTTGGTTTGATTAATTCGAGCACGATGTCAACATTTTGTCCCTTTGCAGCCATGTGCAAGGCAGTCTGGCCTTTTTTATCTGTTCTAAAGCCAATCTCAGGATCCTTGCTAAGAACGGATCTAACTATCTCCAAGTGTCCCATTCTTGCTGCTGTATGGAGCACAGTCTTTCCGTTGTTCCGAGCTATCTTAGCAAGGTTAGAATCAATCTCCAGAAGCATATTTACTACATGAATATGTCCCTGTGCAGCTGCAGTATGTAATGCCGTAGAATTGGACGAATCTGTGGTCATGACTAAGTTTGGAAAGGAATGCAGCAGTTCCTGTAGTACATCTGCAATTTTATACAAAAAAGTGTTTGCAAGTGCAAGTAAGAAAGGAACATACTGAATTCATGTTTAACAAGTATCCACAATAAGCTTGAAATAACAATAATACTCCCTCCGTCCCAATTTAAGTGTTTTACTTTCCCTTTTGGTTTGTTCCAAAAATATTATCTCTTTCTTAAACTTCGTGTCCAATCAAACTAAGACACTTAAACTGGGACGGAGGGAGTAAATCAAGACTTGACCATAAAGTTTTTTTTTTATGGTCACCACAAACATATAAGCTCTAATGTGATCGAGTTACACAGGTTGTGTTAGGATCGAAGTTCCAGTTGATTTTTGCAGTTTGACAAAACAACCCTCAACGACATAATTGAGACTACATGGAGAAATGTACTAAAGAAAATACAACGATTTATGTGGTTCGATCATCAGACATGTCCACAGACGGATAGAAATTTGATTCTGGAAACTAAGATCTAGGATAGAAATTGCAGACTCTAGTCACCATCAGTATAGGGTCAGCCTCAGCCTGGTGCACTAAAGCTCCTTCTATGCACGGAGTCCGGAGAAGGGAAAGACCACAAGGGTCTATTGTATGCAACCTTACCCTACATTTCTTCAAGAGATTGTTTCCACGGCTTGAACCCTGGCCACATGGCAGCAACTTTACCAGTTACGCCAAGACTCCCCTTCCGTCACCATCACTATTAGCAGTAATAAAATTTCATGTGAAGTATCATTCATGAAGTCCACATTTTTACTGGCAAATCTGGAAAGACACTCTGAGAACCACATGTAATATCAAAGCTGAATCGAGATGCGAAAGAATCTACATTCTCTATCCCCTAAATTAGCCTAATTAGATTTTTCAAGAATCGAAGTCGATTTGCTTTATAATTAATAGGGAACTCACCAAGATGACCCTGCCTTGCTGCAACATGAAGTGTATCATAACCATTATTTGCCACAATAGAAGCAATTTCAAGGTCTAAATGTTTCAAGAACTCTGCAACAACCAAACAATGACCATTCTCAGCAGCAACATATAAAGCAGTCTCACCCTCTTGGTTTTGCTGACATAACAAGTCTTTTATGCCTTTTTCATCAAACTTCTGAACAATTTCTTTCACCTTTCCTAAATTTCCAGCTCTAGCTGCAAGATGCAACGGGGAATCCCCTCGTTTCCCCGGTGAATCCTTACCCCTTTTCCTCTCACCACCAAAACTCATTTGCCTCTCCATTGCTATCCTAAAACTTTTCTGTTTTTCCATTATTCCCCTAAAGCTCTTCTGTTTCTCCATTGCCCCGTTTCGAAAACTTTGCTGTTTTTCCATTGTTGCACCCTGGAAACTAACCTGTTTCTCCATGATCATAAAGAATTCAACCCCCAAAATCCTAATGGATTTCTTGTATATTAGACCAAAAATAACAACTTTTTCCACTTTCAAGAACTACAAAGATTGAAACTTTTCATCATTATCAATTCAACTTGGAAAGAGATACATTAAGATACAACAATAACAACAACATACCCGCGAAATTCCACAAGTGGGGTCTGGGGAGAATAGAGTGTAGGCAGACCTTATCACTATCTCGTGGAGGTAGTTGTTTCTGAGAGATGAAAGATCCTCAGCTCGAGTGCAGCAAATTCAAGTACAAAGGGATATACTAAGATACCAAAAATTATCACCTTTCCCACATTTCTAGCTAAGAATCTATAAAAACCCCTGGCCCAACAAAATTTGAAGCAAATTTAAAGAACCCTTTATACTATTAAGTCTTGGAGCTCTCTACCAAATCACAAGTCCAGAAAGAAACAATTTTTTCAGTGAACTTACAGAACTAAAAAGCATATCAAGAACTCAAATCAGACAAAAAAAGAACAATCTTTCAACAAATATAGAGCTCAAACTTCACTTTTGATGAAACCCCAAAAGCTAAAAATCAGATGAAATCTTGAAAAAAATCCAAACAATATCAAGAACAGGAAACACAAGTAAAAACAAAAGAGCAGTATAAGCAACAAAAGGGTCACTGAATCCAATGGTTTTGCCCACTTTTTGTTTTTGTCAGGCTCTTTTAAAGTTGAAGTATTTACTAATACTAAAATTCCCATATGAAATAAATCAACAGAAAAAACACTCCTTTTTTACTTAAAGAGGCTTACTTGTTCAAACATTCTGTTTTATCACTTGTGTAGCTTAGTGATCAATAAAATAATCAAGAATTACGATATTTTGATTTAGCATGAACCAAAATATTATATAGTTTTATGTCTTAAACACGTCAAGTAAAAAGTTGAATTAAAAGTTATCAAGAAAGTAAAGAATATAGTAAATATTTCAAGAAATTAATTAAGATGCGTGTAAGCTGACTCACGTGATTAATGTAAAAAGGGCAAGTTGTTGGTCTCAATTGATGTTATGATTATCTGTTAACATCAAAACGTGCACTAAAAGACAGAGATTACATTATATACAGCAGTGGGGGCCCATTGGCCATTGTTATATTGCAATATTCTTATGCAAGCTCATGAGTCATGAGATGATAAGATAATTGGTGGGGCCCAATCCTATATGTTGGGTCCCACAATGTGACACAAGAGAGTAGAAGAGTCTACCTAACATTTAAAGGGATAATAACCGATCAGGATTGTGATGGAATGGTACATTCTTAACTAAAGCTTTCATGTTCGAGTTTTTCGTGCTTTACCCTCTTCCGTGTGAAACTTTCTAGCGCAAATATAAATTTAATTAGATTTCAATATAGATACTAGACATTGTATTATCAATCAATAAAAATCATAAGGCAGTTATTTGTTTTCTTTTTTTTGAAATTCTCATCTTATTGTTCCCTTGTAACTCGAACTCAAGATAGTGTCATGTGAGGCACAGATAGTGAAAAATATGGTAAATTATAATTATCGATCAATTGAGTTACTGAAATTCTCTCGATGACCAAAATGTACAGAATTTTAGGAGGCACATTCTGACACGCCTGAATGTAAGCATGTCTTTTCTTGGATTATTGAAAAGATTCCCACTTCTTTGGTAAAAATAATGTTGGGCTAAAATAGTTTTAACTTTTTTTTTATTATATAGTGTGATGTTATTTATTCATGGTTAAGTTTGTAATTTAAAGTTTCATTGCACTATATATGTAACTTTTTTTCAACTGTCAATAGGGAATTTTCTTCGACATCCAACAATTTTTATTTATTTATTAAATTTCCACGTGACATATCACGCATGAGCTTATATGGGACAAATTGTGTATCATAAATTCATCTATTGAGTATTTATGATCACCAAAGCTTTTTTTAGATATGTCTCTAAAACTACGAGTAAAGATAATAAATCTACACGAGTAAAGGCACTAAGTTGAATCCCTAGCTATTACTTTGTCATAGTCATACTTGTATCGTTGAATAATTGATTTTGATACTATTTGTCCATCGTACCAAATGACCTTGCAAAAATATACCAATTGTCTATACTAATAATTACATATTAAGTCCTTTTATTTAGTGTTTTATAACATCAAGACAAAGACACCGACCCTCGTGGAACTAATTTCAATTTGACAAATTTTACAGAATTTAGGAGTCCCATTCTGACATGCCTGTCCTTTTATCAAAATGATTCCTCTACTTTTTTTTGGTAAATAATTTACTTTCTTTCTTTATGTTTATTTCTATAAATAAAATTATATGAGTCGTCTAAACTTTAACCTTTATTTCTTTCTTCATATCCTAAAAGAAAGTAAATCCGTGTTTTGCTTCCTCGAATTGAAGTAAAAAACGGAGATCTTTCCAATCAGAAAGCTCCAAAAATGATACAAAAGAAACTCCAAAGATGACACAAAAGGCAAATCTTTTATTGTTACGATTGTTGAGGTTCTTAATTACCTAAATAAATATTTTATATTTTTACTATGGAACTCGTCCACAAGAGAATCAATAATATTTCCCCTTCTAGAATGACTCAATTATTAATGACTATAAGATCGTTAAGTTGATAATGACAACGTATACAGAGAAATTCTCGCGTTAAAAAGTGATTCCTAAAATAATGATAGACACCCTGCTGACATCCACCCTTTGTTGTGTGGTATGGACCTCTTTGGCTTTTACACATGGAATATTACATTTGCTTGGTCAGTCACTAAATTATTGGTTTTGCATGGATTGTCCCTATTTTGGAATAGTACAAATTTGTGGACCATTGTACTATTATTTATATGATAAGTTCAAAATATGTGTTTTTCTAAAAAGAAAAATTGCCAACAGTAATAATTTTTGTAAAAAGAATCCATTCCAGTACTAATCTGGCAAACCACATTTCAAGTAATAATTCTAGATTCTCCAATCAATAATTGGTTACCAAATAAGATCAATCATGGCCATCTAAATTAGATTTAAACATCAATAGAGTAGCAATAACAAGATTTTGTGTTTTCATAGCCTAGAAATCTCTGAAGGCCAACAGAGCACGATTCATACGAGGTAGATAATGAGTCCGCCCCTCTACCCTTCTTCTTCGCTTAAATACAAAGCTTTTGAGCCTCGTGCAGAACTGGAAGGTGTTACATGCGTCAAATCCACATATCATGCACTCATTCTAATTGCTGAATCAAAGTTCTGGGGACAACAATAACAGGACCTGTCGTCCAAGCTGGGGCCAACAGCTACAAGCAATCAAGCTTTTCGCGATGAACTTCATTCAAGGGACTTACTTAGTTAGACCATTCTTGCGCCACATTACAGCATCATCCGGGTTTGGGACCATGAAAATTGCATGTGTGACCCCGGCATTAGACTAAATATAGACAGCAGAAAAAAACTGGATTCTCTGGTGAATCTCCTGCCCTTCTAGACCAAGCTAATTACCGACTCTTGAGCCACAAATATCAATGTTAAGGAGACCGAAATGGAAAACCTTAGCGGTCAATGCACATGCCAGTTACATAGAGGATGTACTCTTATCGATCCTTTCCTTGATAGATATAACCAGTTCAGCTTCAAAGTTTGCTATTTCCAAGATGGCCCTAAATCTGCAAGGAAATCATAAGAAACAAACATGTGGAAAATGAGCACATAGTTGCCTATATGGACAAATGAAGCCTATAACTCTTAACCCTCATACAAACTAAACCACACAGTATAGAAATGGACTGCTATAGGACAACCACATGCATATTAGCAAAGAATTTTCCCAACATAAAAAAAGATCAATACTCCGTAACACGTCAATGAAGCATCTAATGAACCAAAGTTATGTGTGGTATAATTACTTTGTAGATAAAGGAACCGTCGGAAGTAGATTGCATTTTCCGTCTGCAAATTGTCGCAGCTGTGCAATTATCCAATATAATCAGTGCTGTACCAGAATATCATCTTTGTCATCCCACCTTTTGACAACCTTTAGAGTAAGCAAGCTGGTTTTTGAAGTCAAACAAATAATTCAAAGCAAATGTCAGTTGAAAAATTTCAGCTTTTCCAATTTTACATTCTTTCTTGTATAGATTAAGAGGTCGTTTGGTAAAGTGTATTAGGAAAAATTATGCATGTGTATTACTAATACCTTGTTTGGTACTCTTTTCCAACCTATGTATAACTAATGCAACTCTATTGTGTATTACTAATACCATGGATTTCTAGGTATTAGTAATGCAATGGTTTTAATGCATGCATTAGCATGGTTACTCTATTGCCCCTTAAAACCTTTTTTACTACATCTGCCAGAAAAAAAACATATAAAACATGAGAGGAAGTGAGTATGATGTGTTTAATGTAGATAGTGAAGCTTATAAGTCTATCAAAAGCATATTACCTAGGTTGTTATCATACTCAACTGTACTCCATTCCCTACTACCAATAATCTCCGCAAGAACAAATACCGTCCTGAAAATGATGGTACCGGATTGGATCTCTTATGACAATGCTTCGACGCTCTATCTGTGCCAAAAGTTTCACAAATAAATGACAATCTCCACATATCCTGAGATTTTTCCTGATTCTAATGGTCTTCTCTCTAGACAGGCTCAGTACACCAAAGGCAACAGCTATTTTCTCACTGTGGTACAGAAGTGAGTCTTCCATCTGTTCATCTTCAAGATCTTGCAAGACAAAGTTTGTGTCTGGAACATATCCCACCTCTTTTAATCTCCAAATAATCTGATTTAGCTCTTTGTTAATTTCCTCTTTTTGTGGATGTGAGTTGTCTCCCATTATAAAAGCATGGATTTGCTTGTTTACTTCAATCCAGCTGCATCCCGGTTCCTTCTTCACTCCTCTTTCCTTCATGGACCTTCTCAAGTCCATAACATCTTCCCATTTTTGAGTACGCGCATATATGTTAGATAGTAATATGTAAGTTCCCGCATCACTTGGATCCAGCTTTATAATTTGTTTGGCAGCATACTCAGCTAAATCCATGTTACGATGTACTCTGCAGGCTCCAAGCAATGTTCTCCATGTCACTGCATCTGGTTCACATTCCATTTCATGGATTAGTTTCACCGCTTCATCTAGCTTTCCAGATCTTCCAAGAAGATCAACCATGCAGCCGTAGTGTTCTCTTCCTGGATCAATACCAAAGAGCTTCTTCATTGAGTGGAAGTAATATTGTCCATCTTCTACCAGTCCTGCATGGCTACAAGCAAATAAAACTCCAAGAACAGTGATGTAGTTTGGTCTGATCCCTGAAACTTTCATCTCCTTGAACAATTCTAGTGCTTTTCTGCTGAAACCATTCTGGGCGTAGCCTATGATCATGGTGCTCCAGGAGATTACGTCCTTCTCTACCATCTGACTAAATATTTGGTGGGCATCTTCCAAATTGCCACACTTGCAATACATGTCCAAAAGTGCATTATCAAGGATTAGGTCCCGCTTGAACTTGAGTACATGAACATGAACTTGCCTTCCAACTTCTAAAAGTGCTAAACTAGTGCAAGCTCTAAGAGCACTTGTCAAGGTCGACTGATCAGCTGAGAATCCAGCTCTCTTCATTCTTTTAAAGAGAGTCAAAGCTTCATCCCCATCGCTGTTTTGAGCAAATCCACCAATAATGGAATTCCAGACGACAAGATCGCCAGTCACCATCTCATTAAAGGTGCACATTGCACACTTGAGTTGACCCATTTTGGAGTAAACATCAATAAGAGCACTTCGGACAAATACATCAGACTCCAGACCAACTTTAAGTAAGCTACAGTGGAGCTGCCTAAGATTGGAAAGGTCATCACAAGCCCTCAGAACAGAGGAGAAAGTAAACATATTAGGTCTCACGCCATCTCTCATCATTAAGATCAAAAACTCCAAAGCCTTGTTATTGATCTTAGCACTAGAGTAGGCAGCTATCATGGTAGTCCAGGAGACAACATTCCTGTCAGACATTTGATCAAACAAAGCTTGCGCTTCATCCAACATGTTAAACTTCACGTACATATTCATAAGTGTGTTAACAAGGAACGTTTTAGGCTCATAACCATTCGAGAACACATGTTGGTGGACTCGTTTACCTTGTTCCACTGCGCCACGAGCCAAACAACACTTAATGAGTTCAGAGTAGGTGACAGCATCAGCCCATATCTTTTGAATTTGCAAGGCATTCAATGCGCTCATTGCCCTGGGAAGATCCCTTGCATAGCAGTAAGTAGTGAACTCATCGAGCAAATCACTACATTTGATTGGTACTCTCTCATTCTGCCACTGAATTACTGCACCAGAGCAACAACGCAGATGCTGAAGCAGAAGTGGTGACAATGGACCAGACAAAACCAATCCGCGTACTGATATGACGTTTTCTTTGAATCTCCATAAGGTTTTCATCTCATTTTATGCCGTAGGACTCTGAAGATTGAATAAAAACTAAACGATTTCAGTAAGGCAAATAGTAATTGCCTCCTTATTCTCTTTGAACATTCCAAACGGATAAAGAACAGATTTTCCCCCCCTGTTTCAGCAAATTCATATAAGGGCAATAAATTCTCCAAGATCAGATTTTTTTTCCCTTCTGAGTGGTTAACCTTTACCCCTTTGACAATCAACTTATGTTCAACCTCATTCAATACAAAGAAAGACAAAATTGATAAAGTAGTTTTAAAATTAGGAGCATATAATCAAACAGGTTGTAGGCATAAGCAAAGATTAACAAATCAGAAAAGAAACTGTCCTCACACTTCACAGAAATGAAACAGTGACACAAAGATTCAGTGTAAGCACTTTCAAGATTTTGTTTGTTGAAACTAAGAACGTTGTCTGATTCAAAGCAATCTCCAGCTGCCACTATTTGGAGATATTGAGGAACAGCTTTTTTGGACCATGAACATAAATCATGTATTAGTAACTTTTGAGAAAATGACAACAATGGTCTATTATGTTTGAAATATGTTTAAAATAATCCCTTAAATATACTTATGAACAGTTTGGTCCGTTTGAGTTTTTCGTAAGTTTACACTTTCGGTCTCCGTCAATCATAATAAATAAATAATTCTTATTTCAATTATCTTGAGGATTTTTTATTGGTGTCCGTCTCTAGTTAAAATTATTGAATTAATTCGTGAAATGGAATGTGAACCAGATGCAGTGACCGTGGACCAACATGCACACAACAACTAATCTTCCACCAGCATAAATATCGAGTAGGTGCTGGTATAATCATGCACAAAGTCACATGGGCTGGCTACTCAGGTTTGGCCTAAATTGGCTGTGATCAGTACCACCAATTTGTTCCAAAGAGTAACTCCATAACAACCAGTAATCACTTAACACTACTAAAAGCATAACACATCAAAGCTCCTGTTGGAGTGGAAAGGAAAATTTCACAGCAGTCAAACTGAACTGATATGTATACGCGGAAACGTGTCCGTTAAACAAATCATCGTATAAAAATCAGTAGAAACTGTATAATACATTCATACTAAAAGCTCTCCCTTATGGAAAAAATGTTGGTCACAAGCACCCGGAATTTAATCAGAGAAAAGGTACAGAAAGTCTAGAAAAAAGTACTAATAAATACTATGCTCCATTCTCTGTTGAGATGTTTTTCTGAGCCAACATCTTTTCTATTATCATCTTGAGCGCAGGGGCACTTGCCTGGCATTTATCATCTGAAAAGCATGATCTTCCTTCTTCAGCTGCTTTACATAGCTGAGGATCTAGTGGTACTTTTCCAAGAAACGGGACACCCATATCGTTGCACATCTTTGCAGCACCTCCGCCACTGGCATCAAAAACTTCAGTACAAGCAATCAAGTTCAGCATTTCTGGGGCGTTCTCTCTCATATAAGACATGGCCCACTCGGTCATGTCTTTCTGCTCCCCAGTCTCTGTCGTTCTCGTGAATTTGAATTCTGAGAGTGGCTGGGAAAGACCACTCATGTTCTCAACAACGCCAAGAACCTCCACCCCAACTTTCTTGCAAAAACTAACTTCTTTCCTTACATCTATCAGGGATACCTGTTGTGGGGTTGTGACTATAACTGCACCATCTATTCCAGTTGTTTGGAGGAATTGAACGATTGAAATATGTTCATCTGACGTCCCAGGTGGAGCATCAACCACAAGGAAATCAAGCTCTCCCCAATAAACTTCTTTGAGGAATTGCTTAATTAGACCATTCTTGCGAGGCCCTCTCCATATGACAGCTTCATCAGGGTTGGGGAGCATGAAACCAATTGACATAACCCCAAGGTTAGACTCAACGTAAACAGGGGACCATCCAATATTACTCTGGTGTATCTCTCGTCCTTCGAGACCAAGCATCTTTGGGATGCTGGGGCCACAGATATCAATGTCAAGGAGACCTACTTGAAAATCCATAGCTGCCAATGCAAAAGCAAGTTGAGCTGAGAAAGTACTCTTACCAACTCCACCTTTGCCAGATAAAACCAGTATCTTGTGCTTCACAGTTGCCATTCTTTCTACTATTGCAACCAAGTCTGCACGAAACCATCAATACAAAACCGCCGAAAATGAGTACCATGTGTATATCATTGATAAATAAAGCCTATCATGATACCACTGTACCACAGGTAAAAATAATTAAGGGAAAACAAACGGCTGGAAAATACCGCATGTATTGGAACTTTACCTTTACTTAAGAAAAAAATATACCGCATGTATTGGAACTCAGATATGTCCTAACTTGGTAAATTAAACAAGCCAATTAGTATTACGCTATCGACCACTTTATCATATCAATTTTCGACAACCTAGCTCTCAGTATCAAACAAGTTATCCATTAGAAAGCGCAATCAACAATCCCCCAAACTTTCCTTTGCTACTCATTGCAGTATACTATACATACAAGAAAGAGCAACTTGAGTTGCACCATATCTACACACAATCATCAGATCAAAATCAACATGCCAAAACAACAGTTTTTAAATTAGAAAAGGTAACATTGAAATGGAAGATAGATGCCTCTGCCTGACAGGTGCTTGATTTTATTTAGAGGTTCTAGTGTGTGAACATTAGCACATTTGTCTCTGGAGAAGATGATCCTTTCTTTCCCTTTTCCGGATTAACAAAAAAGAGTCATGGCAACAGCAGTATAATTTTGTTGTTGCTCATTCTACAACGATTTCTTAAGAAAATAGAATAAATTAGACTACTTCTTCTTAAGTTGGCTTCTTGCTGCAGAGACTAAAAACTCCCATCCTACCAATTATCGCAACGCATGCACTTTGGAGCTTTGTATATATCTTTTCTTTCCTTTTGCATATGACATGCCAAGTTTGTCTTTTTCTCTGAACTATATGAAAAACGTTCTCTTTTCTTCCTAGTACTTATTCCAAGCTAATGCTTTACGCTTTTTAACTCATTCCTAAGTTAATGGTTTTATTAAGATTCCAACATAACTAATTTAAATATCCATCCTTTGTGCCTTTTAGGTACTTCATGAGCATGGTTAAAGCCAAAGACCCTTAGGACCAACCACAGCCTTCCAAACTAGGGATAATATGTTCACCTCTCTAAGCTTCTCCACTCAAATACCAGCTTTAGTTTACATGTTCAATGCCCAAACATGCAACCTAAGTTCAAGTCCCTCAACCTTTGCCACTTGAACTAAGCCCGTGGAGAGTAGAATTTGAATTCATCAATAGAGTAGATGATTTCTTCTTATTTGCAAGGATTGACTTTATGTTCAAGGGTATGTTAAGTTTATATCACCGAGACACCCTCAACCAGACGTACCGCGGGAACACCACCCCCATTCAAATCAAAATAGATCAAGCACCTACTACTAAGGGGAATGAAAGGTTGACCATAGGGTGAGAGAATCTTATAATACGAGCCCGGTACACGCCCCACAAGCTCAGGAAGACAAAAAAACCTAGATAACATTGTACTGTCACAATACACTCAATATCACAAATATAAGAAAAACAAGCTCAAAAAAAGTATCTTTACACACGAAAAGAAGCAAAACAGTAACCTGGGTCAGGTCCTTTGGGAGCAGTAGCACAAATTTCTTGATTTGGGCATCCTTCACAAGCATCAGATTTTCCTGCTGTTTCAGATTGTGGACCTGGGCAATCTGAAATTTTAAAAAAAAGAAGCTTAAACAATGAAACCAAAGAATAAAGATGCAAACTTTAAGGTTAAAATCAAGAATCTACATACGTTCAGGAGCATTCTCTGGGATTTCACCGTTTTCCATCTTCTTCAACTAGCACAACAACAAATTCTAAATAAAAATTTAAACTTTAATAGACTGCTAAATCAAGAGTTACAGATTACCAACTATTGAGGTTTCAATTGATGCGGCCCTTTGAGGTTCAGAGAAATTGCTGTAAATTTGTCTATTAGGGCAATGGAGTTCTATCCAAAAAAGAGAAAATAAGGTTTTAAACCGCCTTTGACTTTTATTTTTTGTTTATTTAGTCCTTTTGCTCAATGGGTTAGGAACAAGTTATTTCGAATTAATTATTTTTAGATTGTCATTTCAATTGGATAATATAATAATTTTGGGATAACTAATTCGAGAAAAGTTATTCTCTAATTGTGTCTTAACTATTCTTAACAGAACATGAAACAAACTCATTCTAAAATTAATTTTATAATTAGTTACGAGTTTTTAGTATTGTATTATTGTTTTTTATATATATGATAAAGTAATTTTCTTTGAAGCATATAATCAAACAGTTTATAAGCATAGTAGAGATTAACACTTAAGTTTGGCCTAAATTGGCTATCAGTACCACCAATTTGTTCCAAAGAGTAACTGCATAGCAACCAGTAACCACATAACACTACTAAAAGCATAACACATCAAAGTTCCTGTTGGAGTGGGAAGGAAAATTTTACAGCAATCAACCTGTTCGTAAACGCGGAGGTGATAACATCCTCCACATTATTCAAAGTCGATTTCACAGAGGGAACATGTCCGTTTAACAAATCATCGTACAAAAATCACTAGAAATTGTATAATACATCCATATCTAGAGTGATAAAAGCTCTCAGTTACGAAAAAATGTTGGTCACAAGTACCCGGAACTTAATGAAAGAAAAGGTAAAGAAAGCCTAGAAAAAAGTTATAAATACTATGCTCCATTCTCTGTTGAGATGTTTTTCTGAGCTAATATCTTTTCTATTATCATCTTGAGCGCAGGGGCACTTGCTCGGCGGCATTTATCATCTGAAAAGCATGATCTTCCATCTTCGGCTGCTTTACATAGCTGAGGATCCAGTGGTACTTTTCCAAGAAACGGGACATCCATATCGTTGCACATCTTTGCTGCGCCTCCGCCACTGGTATCAAAAACTTCACTACAAGCAATCAAGTTCAGCATTTCTGGGGCGTTCTCACTGATATAAGACATGGCCCATTCGGTCATGTCTTTCTGCTCGCCAGTCTCTGTCATTCTTGTGAATTTGAATTCAGAGAGTGGCTGGGAAAGACCACTCATGTTCTCAACAACACCAAGAACCTCCACCCCAACTTTCTTGCAAAAACTAACTTCTTTCCTTACATCTATCAGAGATACCTGTTGTGGGGTTGTGACTAAAACTGCACCATCTATTCCAGTTGCCTCGAGGGATTGAACGATTGTAATCTGTTCATCTGACGTTCCAGGTGGAGCATCAACCACAAGGAAATCAAGCTCTCCCCAATCAACATCTCTGAGGAATTGCTTAATTAGACCAGTCTTGCGAGGCCCTCTCCATATAGCAGCTTCATCAGGGTTGGAGATCATGAAACCAATTGATATAACCCCAAGGTTAGACTCAACATAAGCAGGTATCCATCCACAATTACTCCGGTGAATCTCTCGTCCTTCGAGACCAAGCATCTTTGGGATGCTGGGGCCACAGATATCAATGTCAAGGATACCCACTTCAAAATTCATAGCTGCCA